ACAGGCGACTGGGCCAAACACCGAGCGCCCCCAAGCCGGGGAGACTGCTGAGGGAGGGAAAAAAAAAAAAAGAAGGGAGAGGAGCTAGGGGAGAATAGCCGAGCGCCGAAAGATGGAAGTCCGAGAGGCCCTGCGGTGCAGAGGTGAAGCCAAATCTCTCTCTTCATCATCGGCATCTAATTTGCACCGCGGGCGCCCCGTGTGCCCCGGCAGGCAGGTCTTGCTCCTGGGGCCCAGGTTTGCCCCATGCCCTCCCCCAAGATATTGATTTTCAACCTCTGCGCGTTTTTTGTCAATTCCGCCGAGCGAGCAGGGATCGGGGAGGCGGGTGGAGGGTGCCATGTAAAGGCAGCCACTTCTCCCCTCCCTGGCATCTCCGGGCCCCTCGGTTAGGCGGTAGCCGCCGACCTGAGAAGGGAGACCCACGCCTCCATCTCCAGCGACTGCACCTGCCTCCCTGCGTCCCGCTCGCCGTGGGTTAGCCTCATGCCTGCCTCTTGCAACGTGTTCACTGTGCAGGCCCGAGAGGTCCCGGCCATAACCGTCAACAGACACTTTATTGGTGTATCTATCTATCTATATATATATATTTAAAGTAGAGCCCTTGCTTCCCATAGGCAGTAGAAACAGTAAAGTATGGTTTTTACACATTCTACACACATATGGCTGGAGCATCTGAGCGATGCGAAAATAAGGCCCCGGGTGGGGAGGCATTAGAAGTGGAGGTGTGGTAGGAGAAGAAAGCAATGTCTTCAGAACTGCTTTCTCACCTCCAGACTCTGCAACCGCTCTCTCCCGGCGGAATCGGAGGCCAGGAGAGTCCACGTTCCTGTGTGGAGCTGTGCAACGTGTGTGTGTGTGTGTGCCTGGGTGCAGTTTAAGAACGACACGGTGAATACAGGGTCAGGGCCCAAGAAGAGGACGGAGATGCTTTCCCCATGGCAACGAGGATCAGGGATGGGCTGGGAAGTCTGGGGTGGTTCTTTGGGTACAGCCGGCTCTGTTCCACGCTTTTACGGAACCACGCGAACGTGGACACGGTGCCAGGCATTGCTGAGTACGCCTCGCAGGTTCCAGATGGGGGCCACGGTGTCCGGCTGCACGTTGTAACTGTCATCCACAGCTTTACAAACGATGTTCAGCTCCTTTTGCTCTGCCGGCACCCGGGCTTTCAACTGCCATATCCGCCAAGCCCAGGCCTTCCTGGGACGTTGTTCCTCTCCCTCTAGCTCAGCTTCCTGCCAGGTGAGTCCGCCATCTACGGACACATCCACTCGAATCACGGCCCTGCCACCACCGCTCCATGCATAGCCCTTGATCGTCACCTCTCCCGACTCTACAGTCGCCCCATCTCGAGGCTGCGTGATAGCCGACTGGACAGGCAGTTCCTGGATTGACGGGGCCAGATCAAAGTTTACCGTGTCCCAGTCCACGGACGGAGAGAAGCCTTTGTAATCCCGCCTCTGCCAGTGGCTGTGGCTTTCCTCCGACTCCACGCTCACTCTGGCCAGCCACTTGACGTTGCGGGCACCCACCACGCCGGGAACCACCACCCGCACGGGGAAACCGTGGTCACGAGGCAGGGGCTGACCATTCATTTCATATGCCAGGAGGACCTCGGCTTCAGGATCCATGGCCCGAGCCAGAGGGATGGATGCTCCGTAGGCAGTCCCCGTGGGGTCTGAGTCAAGTCCCTCGAAACAGACGTGGGCCTCGGTCTCACGGACTCGGTGGCCAGCCTGGGCTAACACGTCGCAGAGCCGCGCCCCGGCCCAGCGGGCCGTGCTGATGGCTCCTGTCCTCCACTCCAGGCCTTTCACTTCCTTAACCTCGCTCATCTCAGAGCGCCGGTTGCCAGCACACTGCAGAGTGACGGTGATTTCATGCTTAGGAAACTTATACAAATCATCCAAGGACAGGGACAGCGACTGACCTCCCGGCGCCCCTACTACGTGCAAGCGATAGGTGTCCGGGTCCACACTGGGCACAGGCAGATGGTTCCGGGTGAAAAAAATAGGGTTTGGCGTGATGTAGTTTTCCGTCAGCAGTTCAGGGGGAGGCTCTGCATTAAAGGGGCGTTGGCTGTTAATCCTCAGGGCTGGATGGCGGACAGGATCATCAGCGTAAGGGTCAGAGGCCTCCAAGGTGGGGGGTGACACCTCATCCTCAGGGTTCAGTTCCCCAATCTTATACTCGGCCAGTAGCTCACGTACATGGGGCTGGTTGTGGAAAGCATAGAGGGACCAGAAGGGCTCTAGGGGACCCCCTGCTGCCAGGATCAGTTTGGATGGCCCTCCTGGGTGTAGGTCCACAAACTCTGTGACATCGAAGACCTCAGAGCCTAGAGTTACCCAGACTCGAGTTTCGGGGCTGTTGTGGGACCTCACTTCCTCCTTAGTGTACATCCGTGGCGACTCCTGAGCAGCCTACAGGTAGGGGAGGGAGAAAACAAAAGGAACCGCATATTAAATCACTCTAGGTCATTCTGACACCACCCGTCCATAGTCTTAGACTGGGGAATTAAAGGCACAGATAGTATGTCTGTAGTGCGTGAAGACAGAGCCGCCACCAGGAAGAGCGTGTGAGATCCCTCTGCCCCTTTCCTGCCTACCTTACAGCGGAAGTCATGATAGGCCAGGACTGCGCCAAGGCCCAGCAGGGTCCCTATGACTTTCCACCCCTGAGTTCTCGAGTTATCATCAGAAAAGGTGAGGCTGGGGTGCTGGGGTCTAAAGGAATCATTTGTGGAGCATGCTGGGATGCAGAGCCTCGAGGGAGTTGTCTTGACCCTGGAAGAAAGAGATCTTTAGTAGCACAAAAATTCCTGTGAAAAGGACTATCGGAGGTCTGTGGCTGCCTCTCCCTCATTAGTCACCAGCTTTCAGTTGGAGTTTAGTTTCTTCCGGATGGGTAGGACCGGCGAAACCCGGCTTTCTCTTTCCTCCAGGGCCATTTCTGTACCGTCTTATCTCCCAGATAAGATAAATATCTGCCAGATAAGGTAATTACGAGATAGTCTAGGAGATAAGTAATGGGCTGGGATAACCTACCTGAGGGCCCGTGGAAGTCCCACCACCACAGTCCTGTACAGCCGCAGCAGCATTGTGGCAGACCTGCAGGGAGAAGGTTCTGGGTTTCAGAACAAGAAAACCCCTGCGAGGGGACATTTGGGAGAACTGAGGATGCAGGGTCCACATGGGTTCTTGGAGTAAACTTGGAACGCTTCGGCGGTTGGTCGGCTGTGCTGAAGAGGTGGAAGGGGACGGGGGTGGCGTGGGGTGGGGATGAGGGAGGTACACAGGCTTCCAGAGAGAACAATGCCCCAGGCCAAGGAACGAAAGGGCAGATGCAGGTTTGCCAATTTATTTTGTTCTTGTTTTGTTTTTTTTCGAGACAGGGTTTCTCTGTGTAGCTTTGCGCCTTTTCCTGGAACTCACTTGGTAGCCCAGGCTGGCCTCGAACTCACAGAGATCCGCCTGCCTCTGCCTCCCGAGTGCTGGGATTAAAGGAGTGCGCCACCACCGCCCGGCTTAGGTTTGCCAATTTAAAAAAAAAAAATGATACTGGGTATTGAACCCAAGGCCTTGAGAATGTTAGACAAGTGCTTACCACTGAGCTATCTATCCTTCCGGCCCCCCAGTCTGTAATTACCTCTAAAGTGAGACCGATGAAAACCGAGACAAGAGGGTAGCGGCAACCTAGTGGGGTAGAGGAGTTCAAATTCTAGAAGCAAACCGCCTTGGGTCTGTACAACCGGGCCTCGTCATTAACCCGGGCTCCCCGGGCAACACAGTGGGCCTCCCTGAAACTGTATCCTCATCTCTACCCAGAGGACCTGATACCAAGAGTCAACAAGTAATAACATTCACTCAGGCCTTTCCAGTTCTCTCCCTCCACCCCTCTAAAATAAATACCCCGTCCGGGAACTGAACCCCAATTCAGCGTCTCCACCCTAGCCTGTAGTGATCTCAGCGACCGTGGAAAAGTCAATGGCCAGCGTGTCAGGGGATGGGCTGGGGAGGAAGTTCATCTTTCTGCTCTCTGTCCGGCAACAGTATCTCCCTCTGACCCCGGAGGGTCAAAGCGGAGAGGCTGCTGGTCGCTGAGATGCTAGGGGTGGGGTTGTTAGCGATAGGGAAAAGAGGAAGGTGGGAATAGGTGCCAGTTCCGCTTCTCTTGACCTCTGGGCCACGGGACCCGCACTCTTCCCAGCCATCTACCCTTCATCTCAGCAACCCGATTTTACCAGCTTGGTCCCGGGCTTTGGAGGGGGTGGCCTGCTAAATACCGAAATACCACTCTGTGGTGCAAAGCTCCCAACTCTGCGGAGCACTTTAGGGAGGGAGGGTGTGTCTGTCCAGAATCCGGACAGAAACGCAGTCTGCGACCCCGGGAGCGCCCGGACATCGTATGAGGAGGTACTGGTCCTTCTGCTGCTCCTAAAGGTTGGAGCTTCCCGGACCGTCTTGGCCCTGCCGTGGCTCTCCCTCCTGTCCCTCCCGATCGCAGTCCCCTTACCCGGCTCGATGTCCGCAGCGGAACAATTTCAGCGGCCCGGTGCGGGGCGAGAGCTCCGCGCGCGGCGGGGCGCGGCGGGGCGGGGCCTGGCCACGACGCGCACAGCCCGTGCAGGCGTCCTCACGCCCCTCGCCCGCGCCGCAGTCATTGGCCCCTCGCTCCGCCGCTGCTCCTGACGAGGACTGGCAGCTGTCACGGGTCGCGGGAGGCGAGGCCGGGGGAGGGCGGAGCGTGGCCGGCTCCCCGCGGGTGCAGGCCGGCCTCTCTCCCCCTCGCCCGGGGACGGTGGACACGCACGGATGATGACCCGAGCCGGCCGCAGCTCCGCGGGGCCCCGGCAGGCCTCGCTGATGCCGGGCGCCTGGGCAGCAGAAGGTGACGAGGGCTGCAAAGGTGGCCGCGAGCATGGGGACCAAGGCTCGTTTCCTCCCACCCCCCAGAGGCATCCGGGTCCGGCGGGTGTGTTGTTTGGGGTTGCAACTGTTGAGCCCCGCTTCTGTTTTAGGGCCAAGAATAACGGAAGAAACGACGCCTTAAAAATAGTGGCTCCAAGACTCCCAGAGTGAATTTCTGAATGCAGAACCAGCAACACTGAAAATCCATCTTTCATTTTGAGACAAGGTCTCACTAGGTAGTCCTGGCTGGCCTGGAACTGATTTTGTAGATCAGGCTGGCTCAGAATTCACAGATCCGTCTGCCCCTGCTTCTTAAGTGCGCCACAATGTCCAGTCCTTAAAACCATCTTCTAAATTTTGCGTAGTGAGGGAGGAAAAAAAAAAAAAAAAAGCGCCGGGCGTGGTGGCGCACGCCTTTAATCCCAGCACTCCAGGGGCGGATCTCTGTGAGTGCGAGGCCAGGCCAGCCCCGGCTACAGAGCGAGTTCCAGGCTGTTAACAGAGAAACCCTGTCTTGAAAAACCAAACAAAACACAAAACATCCACTTTAACAAGAAAAATGACAGTTTAACTAAGTCTCGTATATCAAAGTAAAGGACACTAATGGAGTCAATTCGTTGTTACTCTTAACCCGTTACTAAAACGGGACACTTCGCCCGTGCTTCGGGAACAAACATTCTTAGACTGCCCTCTAGAGATCAGAGGGTTGAGCTACAGTCCTATCGATTTAAAGCAAAAACATTCCGGAAGATCCTTTTTTCCTTTAGTTCTCCAACAGAATTTTTGCGAGGACTCGAGGACCCCGGGCAGGGAGTGTACTCAGAAGAGGGGAAGTGAGAGTGAAAAGGTGATGTCGGCTCTAAAGTTTTGGGAATGGGAAGGTTTCCAGCCTTTGTGTAGATCATCCTGATTGTTGAAGTTTCAGCTGGTGTGCCCAGCACAAGGGAGGTGGAGGCCAACCTGAACTCTAGGAGAAGACCCTGTCAAACAAATAAATTCTACTTGGTATGGTTTCTTCCCGTCTACTAACGCCCGCCACCCAGTTTTATTTATCGAGCTAACATCTCCTGTAGCTCAGATGGGCCTCAAACTCCCAAGTGCTGGATGACAGTGCTGGATGACAGGTGTGTACCACACCCGGCTCAGACTTCACACTCTCTTCTTCACAGATGAAGAGACTGAAGCCGAGTGCTAATCTGACCAAGGCCCGTAGCTGGTGAATTAGAAATGGCCTGCAAAGTAAGGGCTAGCTGACACCAGTCCCCTGAACATTCTAACTTAAAATAAGAAACAGATCCAGAGCCGGGCGGCGGCGGCGGTGGCGGCGGCGGCGCACGCCTTTATTGCCAGCACTTGGGAGGCAGAGGCAAGCAGATCTCTGAGTTCGAGGCCAGCTTGATCTACAGAGCGAGATCCAGGACAGCCAGGGATACACAGAGAAAACTGGCTTGAAAACAAACAAGAAACCAAAACAGATCCAGGCAAATTTGTTGTTCTTGGGGTGAAGACACTTCATCAAGTTCATTCAGCTTGTCGTCTAAGATTTTATACGAGTGTTTTTCCTGCAGTTTGCACATGCACCATGTATGTACCCGGTGCCCATGGAGGCCAGAAGGCATCAGATCCCCTGGAACTGGAGCTGTGGATGGTTGTGAGCCACCATGTGGGCGCTGGTAATTGAACCCAGGTACTCTGCCAAGAGCAACAAGTGCTTTAAACCACTGAGCCATCTTCTAAGAATCTTTTTTCTTTTTCTTTTTTCAATGGGCATTGGTGTTTTGCTGTTGGAGCCCATTAGGTTTCCCAGCAGGACTGCATAAGAGGTTGATTGGACCATGGGGCCGGGTCCCAGGTCTTTGTGAGGGTCTAACCAGCAAGGGGGAGGTCTTTTGCCCCACCCCTTGGCATTGTTATAAACAGACCTTTGGAATAAAATTCTGGGCTGGTGGATAAGGATCCAGGTCCACCCGAGTCTACCTTGTGTTCTGTTTTGCCCCCACCCCCCATTTCTAACTAAGTTTCTTATCCCTCATTCCTTAAGAGTCCCTGAGGTAAATAATGGTGGGGGCTGGTTCCCCATATTTTGCCATGAAACTGGAGTTAGACAGCTGTGAGCTGCCATGTGGTTGCTGGGAATTGAACCCAGGTCCCCTGGAAGAGCATTCAGTGCTCTTAACTGCTGAGCCATCTCTTCAGCCCCCTTTTTTCTTTTGAATCTTTAGGTATGGATCCAGTTCAGAAACTAATATACAAATGAGTCCTAGGAAAATGCAAAAAAATATATTGCACAGTTCTTCCAACAGTTCAGACATGCCGTTCTTTCAGTCTCAGCGGTTCAAGAGATCCACAGACCACACCACTGCACACAAAAAGATAAGTCGCGCTGGGTAAGTTATCGATGTCTTTGAGCAGAACAGTTCACAAAACAAAAAAAGGTTATTTTCCAAATTGGTTGAGTGTCCATGAAAAGGTCAGAGAAAATGACGAGGTGCCAAGATGGGGAGGAGGGTACGTTAGGGGTCCATGAAATTTCATTAGGCCCTTTTGTCCCAATTTTTTGTTTCCGAGGCAGGGGTTCTCTGTGTAGCCCTGACTGTCCTGGAACTTGCTCTGCAGACCAGGCTGGCCTCGAACTCAGAGGTCTGTCCCCTCTGCCTCCCGAGCCCTGGGATTAAAGGGTGTGTGCCGCCCCCCCCCCCATGCCGCCCAGCTTCCTTTCAGTATCAGGCAGACAAATGGTAAAAACAAAACAACAGTCCAATGTACTTTCTTTTTTTCCTTTTTTACTTACATTAAATACATCGATAAATCAGCAGTTGCATTCTGTTACCACGATTGTTATGTTAGAAGGAGAGGGAAAGAAAGGCGAACCCTTTCTTAGGAAAAATAAAGGCAAAAAAAGATGACCCCTCCCCCTAAAAATTGATCAAAAGAAAAAAGGTAACAGGAGGGCAGGAGAGAACAACAAACACCCTCAAGCCCAACAGAGCTCCAACGAAGGCAGAAGAGCTGGTAGGAGAAGAGGGGCAGCAGCCAGGCCCCGGAGCTAAGGCCAATACTGTTCCTAAGAGAGGGAGGGAGGGAGGGAGGGAAAAGCCTAGGGAAATGGTTTCCCGGCCCCTAGGCACTAAAACATCTTCACTTTTGTCCCATGGAAAAACTGCAGAGAAGGAATTAAACTTCTACAAGCCACCCTAGATTCTCCACTTGTAAACAGGATACGCTTGGGTGCTTTGGGGATTAACAGGTTCAAGGAAAACAAAGTTGGAAACATGTGCTTCCGGGCCGTGAGAACTAAGGCTGCCCCTGGAAAAGGAAGAGAACTGAGGCCTAAGTGGAAGAACCTAAGCTGAGTCCTTGAGAATCCTGGCTTCATGGATTCCTCAGCTGCTCTGGAACAAAAGGCAGTCTGTAAGCCAAAGGACAGAAAGGTTCTAACTCTAGGTTACTGTGGTTCTTCTTTTCCTCTGAAAATTTTCCCAAAATTCTGGCTAACACACAAAAGAACTGAGTTCTCTCTTGCCTTGATGGCTTCCCACAGACACCCTAAAACACCTAACAAAGGATGCAGAGGCCAGGACTCAGGAAGGACCCAAGCCCTCTGATGACACAAGGCAGCGGTGAGGCACCTTCAAGTCTAGCTGCGCCTGTCAAAGAACAAGTGGCCTCTGTGGCAGGAGCCTAGTGGTACACGGATTAACTGAGGGGGAGGTGAAGGAGGAACTCAAGATACTAACAGAGAGGGAAGCAGGGCCATAGGAGACAGAACAGACCGCACAGTGAGAATCAGGACTAAGTATTTACAGGGAAGTAGAAAAGACATGGTAAGATACAGCAAGTCGAGTGTGAACCTGGGAAGATAGACCCCTCCCTCTGCCCGACCCTCTTCACTCCCCCACCACGGCCTTGCTAGACTGAGGCCGCTCCCCAGCTGCTCAGACAAACCTATACCCAGGAACAGACGCCCGAATCCGAGGAGGCTAGCAGTGCACACTGGGCTTCAGTCGCTGATACTGTTCTCTACAGTGCCTCCCAAACCTCATACATTGCAGATTACATTTAATTAAAAAGGTTGAAGGACAGGTAAATCAATCAAAACCCCCATAAAACATGTATCCGACTGAACTACCATCAATTAAAGTGCAAACGGCAGGGGCATGGCGTCTGGGGCGAAGGCCATCTCAAGGCCAGGGTGGGGAATGCCTATGTATAAACCAGAGGGTGGTATCAGAAACTGGTACCTCCTCCAGGTTGATCACAGCAGAGCGAGAGGTGCAGGCAACCAGTGAAGATTCTTTGGAGCACTCTGAGGTCCAGTCCCCACACTGGAGTGGGGGTGAGTGGGTGGGGAGGACTACCTAAGAGGCCAGGTGAGGAAAGACAGCCTTGGGACGAGTTCCAGAGCACAGAAGAACACTGCACCTCAACCTTGATCCAGTTAGCTGATACGCCTCCCAACGGTGCCTGCGAACTCGCCTCCCCAGTCTCACTCCTCCCCAGGGTCACCCTCCACAAGTCCAACTCACGGGTGCTGCAGTGTCTCACAGACAAGAAACTCCTACCAGATAAATAAAACAAAAAAAGAAATGTTTCCTTACCCCCCTGTCTGAGCCTTACTGTCCCCGCAGGGCCCCTAATGTAACTAAAATCACACCGTCTCCCTTCTCAGTCCCTGGGTTTCCTGCCATCATCTTGGGAAGAGGAGGAAACAGGATCAAGAACAGGGAGTGATGGAGGGGGAAGAGGTGGGAGACAGAAGCCTTCCCTGCAACACTGGGAAGAACAGGGCGGGCGGGGAGTAACAATGAGGAGGCCACTGTCTTGCACCTAGAATACGAAGTGAAGAAAGTTTGTTTTGGAAGGAAGGTCCTGGGGAGATCTGACCCCAAACCCCGGAGCAGGGCATAGTAGTGGCAACAGCTGCCCGGTGTTGGTTGCTGAAGCGTTAAAAAGTGCCATGACGGGGCTGCCAGGAGGCGGCCCTCGGGAGCCGGGGCTCAGTGTGCTGTTACCGTGGGGGCTGTGTGCTGAGGGTGGGGATGGAGAGGTTATGTTTTAGCTCTCGT